ATCTATATATTTTTTAAAGTCAAAATAATTCTCATTCTCTCTAAAATTTGTAAAACCAAAGTTTCCTGTTTTATCAATTTTATTGAGCCCCATTATTCCTTTTTTCAAATATTTTTTATGCAACTATAGTTTTATCTAGATCTATTTTGGTGGCTACGTCACTTCCATTTCTGGTTTTAAAATTCTTCTATGGTATTTAAAAAATTGAGTTGTGGACATTCCACCTAACAGGAATTATAGAAATCTTGTAAAGGTTTCTTTAGTAAAAGCATCATACAAAAAACATAGATGTATATGCAGATTCGTAACTTGCAGTTACCTTCTTGTGAATCCATTACTCCTTGGATTGGTTATAAGGCAACTGGCGGATTTCCCTTGTATCAGAGCATAAATCTCAAATATAGCCTGATGATTGCACACTAAATTTAATATCATCCTCAGCAAAACAAAATTAGAAAGGGAGTTGTTTGCTACCCACTCCCTAGTCATGATGCATCTAATGTCAAGGGATTTTTACAAAATTTCTTATATTATAACCACTTCTATTGCTGTTTGCTTTCACTTGCACATATAAATGATATGTTTTCTAAGAAACAATCATATCATAATTATGTATGATGAACTTGTTAATGTACAGTTGTTTTTTTGAATTTTTAAAAGAATTGTGACCAATACTGTTTTTCTGTTGTTTTTACCTTTTGGAAGCCATCACCAATGTTAAAACGTGGGCACTAGATCGAGAGGTATTTCAGAATATCATGAGAAGGACAGCTCAAGCTAGAGACGAGCAGTACAGAAACTTCCTCAGAAGGTAAGACTGGCACGCTGGGGGCAAGAACTGAAGATGTGGTAGTCACACTGTAGGTAAGCTCAGTTTGAATGGAGTTTGTATGGAAGTGGTCAAATATTAACCCAAAAGTCAGCAGCTCAGACCCAACTCAGAAGACACGGCTCTTTCTGAGAGGGTTACAGCCTTGATAACAACCCTGTGGAGCAGTTCTGTGCTGCGGGCAGAGTTTGCCAAGAGTCAGAGTTGATGCAACCGAATGGGTTGGCTTGGAAATGCACACCTTCAGAATATGTTGGCCGGCTCTTAAAACTTTATGGATATTTTATCAAAATTTTACGATCGCTCAAGCATCTTCCACATGAATAAAAAGGAAGAGAAATATTCCCTTCCAATAAAGGCCATACACGCTCTATAAAATTATATTTAATTCACTTTTGCCCTATTTATATCATACTTTGAACTTTGCATGTACTTCTCTATCCCATTTCTTAATCTTCTTCTTCCTCTCTCTTCCATAGTCTGCATTTCGAATTTTAGAGGTCATCTTCTTGTTCGTTATATATTTTGTATAAAGCTTAAGGCTTTGTTTGAGCTTTAATCAAATAGCATTTATTATTTTTGTGATAGTTTGTTACTCATTTGTTCCCCCTAGGATTCATTCACATTGGCGAGTTCACTCATTTTCCCATGCTGAGTTCCACTACAGGGCTCAATCATAGTGTATCTCTTCATCCTTCCACGGGAGTTGTGTTCAAGGCTTTGCAATTACACATGATTCTGTTACAAACATTCTTTTTTTTTTAAATCATTTTATTGGGAGCTCATACAACTCTTATCACAATCCATACACACATCAATTGTGTAAAGCACATTTGCACATTCGTTGCCCTCATCATTCTCAAAACATTTGCTCTCCACTTAAGCCCTTGGCATCAACTTCTTAAACATGCCTCCTGTTCACATGCCTTTTGGTGAACATGTGCCAGAAACAATCAGATCTATTTTTTTATAAATTTTTTTTCGTTTAGGGATATAATTTTCATGGTAAGATAGATGTATTTATCTTATAGGAATCACATTACATTAATATTCTTGACTAAAAATGAGCAAAGTAAAAGGACTCGCTCTCTAAGAAAATTTATTTCTCAAAAAAAAAATTAATCATAGATTGGTTGGATTGGAATTTATGATTATTTTTGCTAGTGATAGGTTTCAGTATTTTATTTCATTCTTTGTATATGATTGTGCTCTATAGAAACGGTCCTATGACATTCCTCTGGGTACTACTCATTTTAAGAGCCAGTACAATATGAATAATCCCAGATTATGTCAGTGCTACTTTCTCGGCTACACTTGGTCCAGCCACTGCTCAATTCGAAAGACTCAGCAGAACACCTGTTCCTCCACGGGGAGCAGAGCTTCCTCGTCTGTGCCGGCCAAATAAAACAGTCAGGGGCAGAGACCAACACAGTTTCCAGTGCAATTCACTTCGAAAACAAACAAAACTGTATCTATGTATATTGCCCCCAATAAATGAAACCTTCCATTTCACCTTTCTGGGATGTTGCTCAATTTGGCTGTACTAGATGTCTGAGATATGTATATCTCAAAATGAGTTTAGGTTAGATATCTGATATATATAACTCATTGTCATTCAGTCAGTTCCAATTCATGGAAATCCTATAGGCGAGAGTGGAATTGCTCCATCGGACTTCTAAGGTTGTAAAGCTTAGCAGATACAGACTAGGCCATCTTTCTCTTGTGGAGCAGTGGGCAGCTTCAAATGGCCAGCCTTTGGGTTAGCAGCCTAATGCCCACTGTGTCACCACGTATCCTTATATAGGAGATAGATATACATGTATATGTACTTGGATCTGTAATCAATCAAACAACACATTGCACTTTGCCAGTCTGCTGCACCAGGCCTCGTTCAAGCATTATAGAGTGCAGATAACACCGTGAGGACAAAGGGGTGCCGGGCCCAAGCCGTGGTGTTCTCCATCATCTCATATGCACGCGCACGCAGGCAATGCATAAGGAAGGCCTGAGAGAAATCACTACATCTACATTATGGCATTGGCGAAGAATATTGAAAGTACCGTGGACTATCCAGAGAACAAATGAATACGTCTTAGAGAAAAGACAGACAGAATGTTCTTTGCAAGTACGAAAGGGGAGACTTTGTTTTCAGATGCTTTGGGCATGTTACCAGGGGAGACCAGTCCCTGGAAAAACACATCGTGTCTAGTGAAGTCGAGGCTCACGGAAAAAGAGGGAGATCTTCAACGGAAGGGATCGCCACAGTCCCGGCTTCCGTGAACTCATCCCTAACTGCTGGGAGGACGGCGTCCCCCCGGCCAGTGCTTCTTTCCATTGGGCACAGGGTCACTAGGAGTTAGGGCTGACTTGAAGGCATCTATTCCCACAACAACCACACACACACGTGCACACACGTGTACACACATGTATATACGCATGTGTACATATATATATGTGTATGTATTTGTAGGTGGCACAAATGGTTTAGGCTTGACTACTAACCAAAACGTTTGGATTTTAACCCACCCTCTGGAGCCCTTGAAGAAATTCCAGCCATCTGCCTGTGAAAAGAATTCCACCCTAAAAGTCCTAGGGAGCTCGTTTCTGCTCTCTCCACACCTGAGTCAGAACTGACTGGACAACAACAGGTTTGGTGTGGTTACAGATATATTCATATATCTATGTATATATTTCATAATAATTTCCCATTTATTTGAATTCACTACTTTACATGTACTGTATTTGGAGGCTTGTTTTGGAACAAAGTGTTACATGTACATTGTATTTTTAGCATGTAAATATTTAAAAACTACACACACGTGTGTGTGTGGTATTTATGATTCAATCTGGGGAGATAATTACAAAGAAAATTTCTGTTTCATTTTGAAGCGTGTCCTTGCTGAAGAATTTACCTGAGGATAAATTAACCAAGATCATCGACTGCCTGGAAGTGGTAAGAAATGTTATAGAAAAAGTAGACTGAACTGTAATCTAGTTGGCTAATTAGCACTGCAGAAGTATCCAGGAAAGATGGTACCTCACTAATCTACGGAGACCAAAATCCTATTTAACACTGTGAGAACACTAGACTAAATCGCACTGAACGAAGGGCCTGGGGTCGTTTTAGAGACTCTTTGGAATGTATAAAAAGAAATTGGATTTACATGTGTAAAGTAAAATTTGATTTACATAGTTTAATATTTTTTGTACATTTTATGACGCTAATCTGCCATATTCACGAGACATTTGATTTTCTACAGTTAACATCATGAGCCCTTACAGAGTTTGCATAGTAGGAAGTCCTTATGGTGTTGAATTAGGGAACTGGAGAAAAGGTATGTTAGTGTTTTCGGTGACAGACCTTTGAATCAGGCTACGACACATTTTCTACTTGAACATTTTGGGTCACGAGAATGCATTACAAGAAATTCAAGCTGCACTTTACAATCACTTTACCTATTTTAACATCTAAGGAGGACAGCATATTGGAATCCACTCAAAAACCTGTTTTAGGCGTCATCCAGATGGTTGGTTCGAGTCCAAGAACAGTCAAGTCTTTTGTGATTAACATCTTTATGACGAGCACCTTAGATTCTAATTATATGCATGACATGAAAACCTCTTCAGTTGCCGAGGTTAAAATTCAAAGCCAATAGCCTCTCCCTTACCCTTGCTTGTGTGTGTGAATTTTACTGAAACCCAAAAGGCTGCAACAGTGCTTCATGGAGGTAAGAAACAGTAGTAAAGAAGACACATCTAGACACGAAGGAGCTTTTCATAAAGCTGTTCTCAGGGGAGGAAAACAAAACAAAACAATAGGAAAAACCCTTGCAAGCCTGATTGTTGACAGATTCACGTCTCTGTCAGTCACAATATACAATGTAAATGACTATCTGTTGAGAAGGCAGCACAGGCCACTTGATCCTTAAGTATAAGTGACACTGGTAATGTTTCTATTTACCATTCATGGAACTCATCCATCAGTGTATCAAGGACAGGCCATGATGACATAGTGCCTGGCCTTGAGGCCCCAGGAGGTTCACATATGAAGTCATTTCAAGAAGGCTGTTTGCCCTGCGTCTCTTGGGATTTGCGCCGATGTAACATAACCCAATCACAGATGTTACAAATTAATAATTCATCCTAATTTCTGAGAGTTTTTATGTTGTAAACCAGAGAGGCTCTATATTTTTTGTGTTAACCAAGGAAATCTGTTTTTAATATAATACTAATAGAGTAGATGCACCAGAGGGGAATTTCATGTTGACAGCAGATATTAAAATTATTAATATTGAAAATGAATGATGAATTGGACATGTTTATCACAGCCACAGACAATGGCTGTAGAATACATAGAAAGGGGCTCAAACTCCAGTATTAATTAAGGACTCCATTTGCGTTTGAGAGTCTCATCTTTTCAAATCCCTGAGAAAGGTTTTCTAAGAGCTCCACATTTGCAGACCGCAGCAGCACAGCTAAGTCGACCTTCTTCAGTCCCACCTGGCAAAAAGGTGGGTGTCTGCGTAACGTGTGAGAATTCACAAATGGGAAAGTGATTCACAAGGGAGGCATGGGATCCAGTTAGCTCCAAGAGGAGCATGTAACTCACCAGCAGAGCGTGAAGGAATGGCCTGTCAGCACAGCCCTGACAACACACCGCGTTCCACGACCGACCTGCTGTCCCACAAACGGACTGCATAATCTCTGAGGAAACAAAGAAACAATTAGGCTGAATCCATCTGCTGGTTTGGAGTTGATTTGGTCTTTGTTTTCGTATTTTTGCTTTGTGTCTGTGTGTGCATATATGCTTGTGGGAGGGTGGTCATTTGGGGGGGGTGGAATCAGAAATGCCCATTCACCAAGCAGTTGATTCACTGTGTTTAAGACAAGACCCTTACCACATAGGTCTGATTGCAGGGTGTTCCAATAGCATTTCCGACTTGAGCTTCCATGACCCCACAGTTCTGGATGCAGACCTGGCCTTGAAGCCTTTTCTTGTGTTCTCTTGGAAGAATGGGACTCCTACCCACGCATGCACTGGTGCACATTAAGAATGAACTGATGCAGATGACAAGGCATGCTACAGCTTGGCATGCAGGGGAGATCTCAGGGCCACGGGAATGGTCAGATGACTAAAGCACGGGCCGTTGTGCCGTGCAAAAAGACGGTGGAAGGAGGGCCTGCTCCCACGCGCAATGCTCAGTCCGGGAGGCCTGGGGCTTGTGCCTTCCTGAACTATAAGCATTGTGATGGATTGGACGTCACTGAGCTCTGGTATTTGACCCAGTGGCCTTCTGCACTGGGACGCTGACAAGTCATCTTTCATTGAACCCTGGTGTGCTGGGGGTGGGAGAGGAGTGAGGAATTTCCTCATTCAGATTGCCTGTGGTGTTCATTAAAAGTCGGACTCCCCATTACCACCCCCAACTAACTGAATCAGAAACCCTGGCTGAGGGGCTCAGATATCTACCTTTTAACATGGAAATGAAGGGCTTCTTATGTTCATTAAAGTCCGACCCACCAAAACGCCATATTAAACCCATTGCCTTTGAGTAGATTTCCACCGAAAGGGACCCCGGAGGACAGAGTAGAACTGGCCAAGGTAGTGAATATTTACAGAAACAAATGGTCTTATCTTTCTTTTTCAGCAGCCAAGGTTTAAGGCACAGCTCCACCATGGTTAAAGTCTGATCACCTCTGCACAATTGTGAAGAGAATACATATACTGAGGGGTTCTTCTTTATTTTTAATTTTAAGAGTTATAGCCAGTACCAGAAAGTTAAAGAGAGCTGTGAATTTTGCTGGTCCAGTTTAGGGACCAGTCCAAGTGAGGGAGCCAAGTGTTGTGGGAAGTTTGCGAGTGGAGAGCCAGCATTTAGGATCTGCGGTCCTGTCCTGCCTCTATCACCAGCTGCTTTCCTGCGATTGCTGTGCACATTGGTGTCTCCTCTCCTCGTTTACAAAATAAGGAGAGGGGAGCTATGCTGAGCTGTGCTGCTACAGGCTGTTTCAGCAACAACATGCAACCAACTCACTTGTACCGCAGTAATTTCTACTGAGCTCCATTTTTAAAGATCTGGCTTCTTGGAAACAACAATCACCACTAATACTAAATTATGTCTGAACGGTTGTTAGGATCCACCTGACCCAGATATGCTGCTTTGAAATGTCTCCTTAAAAAGCATTGATCATATTTAAGCTGCACTTTGAGGGCCAACAACCAGCACAAGATAAAGTAACTATAAGCATTTTTTAATAAGTAATGAACCTAGGTACATAGAGTCTCCTACTCCATGGAAGTGTTTGCAGGTGTGTGTGTGTGTGCATCGTGTGGTGTTGTAAGTCTGTGAATCATCAGGGTTTTTTGGAAGTCCTCTCTGCACACACTAATAGCTATTTGGAGACCTGAGCCGGGATTCTTTCTCCTTAACTTGCACACCTTCTTGGCAGTTTTCTCCTGACCTGATATATTCTTTTCCCAGTCACTTAGGCTCTTATATTTTTCACTGTATCCATTTATTGTAGAACACACATTGTCTTTACAGTAAAAGATAGTCCCATCTTTTGCTGTTGCCGTTGTATAGTTTTCATCCGACCCCTACTTTTCAAGCCTATGCGGGAATTGACTTCTCTTTCACTCCAGCCCTGTCCTAAGTCACTGCCCTTAAGGCTTCTGGGCATCTTCTAAAACCATCTCCTTCAGACTGTCTGTCTCAACTCATTGTATGTCCAATGTTGAAGAAAACATTTGAATTTTAAAACACCAGAGTGTTAAGTATACACACAGTTTAAAAAATATTTCCCTTTTATATAAATGTATATGTGCATGTTCGTGTGTGTGAGTGTATGTATATTGTGTGTGTATATATAAAATGTACTTCTTATTGGAGCTCAGAATCTAATTTCTTGGAAACGATTGCTCTGCAGGATGGGGTCTATGGCTCCACTGTCCTCCAAGGGGCCCTTTTTCAGTGTGACCACACAGACGATAACCACATTATTTATATTTCTCTTTTTGGTTGTGGAAATATCTTGGCCAGATGGACTGTCCTCGCCACTCGACCAATACTGGCTAGTCCATCACCACAGTTGGTACTTACCAGCATGTATTTTTGGTCTGACCTATTTCCACAGCCTTTTCTGATCTATAAAGTTACTGTCAGCACACTGGGAGGTATTATTTATCTTCCTTCCATGGTTTTGGGAGACAAAGATGTATCTCTGAGAAAAACACCACAGGAAGGTTGTCCCTTAAAATACACCCAAGCTCTTTCCCAGCAGTCTTTCCATGCTGGCCTCTTTCAACATATCTGGTGGACAGGAATGAAAGCCATGCCTCAGCCCACATCCCAGGCTTTATAAAAACTAAAGGACAACTCAATAACGCATCAAAACTCTCCCTTTCTCCCTTGCTCCATTTGAAAGTTGAGATTGAGAAGGAAACGAGGGACCAAAGAGCAGATTGCCTTCATCAGGAAAATCTGCTCGACACCAGTCATTTTGCTAAAGAGAATTAAGCATGAATTACATACTGACACCTGGACTATGGGATCTTGGTTACTGACTCAGCCATCAAAGGACAGTCATTTGCACTCTATAGTCAACCTTTTCTACAGCAATGGCGGGAGTCCCTGGTTGCATAAACGTTCAAGTGCGCGGTTACTCATCTAAACGTTAGTGGTTCAGATGTGCCCATCGGTGCCTTAGAGGTAACCCCGGATATTTGCTGCAGAAAGGTCGTAGCTAAAAGAGACAAAACACCTCTTTAGAGGGCAGTTCTACTCTGGTGGAGAAGACTTAACAGCAACTGGTTTACGTAGAAATAAAATAGAAGTTTGTTTCTTGCTGATAAGGAAAGATCGTCTCCATTGGCTTCACAGAGGCATCCAGAAACTCCAGTTGTGCCTTTTCAAGATCTCCCCGTAACGCCACACCACTACGGTGGTGCTGTTGAGTTGATGCGGACTATGACAACCTGGGAAGACAGAGTAGAACTTCCAAGGGTGCAAATTTTTGCAGCAGCAGATTGCTACATCTTTCTCCTACCGAACCCCTGGTGGGTTCTCACTGCTGGCCTTCTCCTTAGCTGCCCGGTGCTTTAACCTCTGTGCCACCAAGACTTCTTCCCCCAGGTTGTTGTTAGATGCTGTAGAATCTGTTCTGATTCGGGGAAGTCCCATGTACAACAGGAGGAAGCACTACTTGGTCCGGCGCCACGCTCAGGGTGGTGAATTTTGAGTCCATTGCTGTAGCCACTAAGGTTGGGGACTTAGCATACAGACTTATCCTGAGTTATGGCAGTGATCTGGGGACCCTTATGAGCCCTTTCATAGACAGATGGTTTTCTCAGCCTCTAGTGAGGGAGATGTGGTAGAAAGCAGAAATCAGAGAGCTTCAGAACATCAGAATATTGCAATTCACTGCAGCTAGCTCTGAGATCTACAATTATGGACAAGGGCCAGAGAAAAGCTTTTGGGAACTAAGTATGACCCCTTGCTGGCAGTTAGTCAGCAAACAAAGGTTGTAGCTGTAGCTCTATGGGACTAACTTCAGCCATCAAGCTGAATGAGCTTGATGTAGTGGATCCTTCCCCACAGGCTGGGGAAAGGAACTCAATCCTGAAGGTACTTGATTTCACCTGAGACTACCTAAGCAGGAAAGCCCAGCTGAGCCACAAGGTGCCTGGGCTTTTGACCCACAGAAACAGTGACAGAACAATCAGGTGCTGTTTTAAGCCACAGATTTTGTTCTGGCAGTAGTGGAGGATGAATCCTCACCCTCTCTCAAGTTCTGAAGGCAGCTTTCTGATTTGAATTTGATGGATTGGTGAAAGGGAAATCCATAATTGTGATGCACAAGTAGAAAGTAGTGGGGCTGGCATTTAAACCTAGAGCCCCCCGCCCCCCAAAAAAACCCCAAACCAATGCACATAAGGTTTCAAGTACAAATGACCAAAAAAAATCTACAGAAAAGTGGCCTACTTTGGAATTGACCTTCAAGTCTCAATGAAAAACAAGACAGGCTGCTATAATGTTGATAATTTTGTCTTTAAAAAATTGAAACAAGAGCATCTCTGTTTTATAAATAATTAAGAGATTCATTTTAGCTCTATGACTTTGAGACAAGATCAAATTAAAGTGAGGCATAAGTGGGCAGTTTAATCCATCTTTTGTTTCCTCAACCACTAAACTGCTCTTGGAGTCTGACAGGTAGACAGATGACTCTTCTCTGCCCAAGGATTCTCTAATCACATGAACATAAGAGAGAGGAGCATGATAATGGATAAAAAAGAAATTTGTGATCATTGGAGATTTTATGATGATAAACATACTTTAAAGAACATAATTTACATGTAAAATATTCAAATGCCACTCTTTTATCATGACAAATCTTTGGAAACTAAAACCAGGTGCTCTTCAAGGAATTATAAATTGAGCTAATATGTTACTAATGTCCACAGGAAATTATGCTTTCTACTTATTAGATCATTTTTTCTTCTTTTACTAAACTCTGGGCACGTTCTTCAAGAGTCCTTAGGTAGTGTAAATAAGCAAGTACTCCATGACTCACTGGAGACTTGGTGGTTCCAACCCACCCAGAGGTCTTTGGAACACACACACGCATGACGATTTGCTGTCCCAGTCTCAGCCTTGAAAGCCCTTTGGGACCGCTCTACTGCGAAACATACAGGGTCGCCATGAGGCCGGCCTAATGCGATGGCGACCCAGAGAACCAAAACAACCTGCCCCCCAAAACTACAACACGTTTTCTAGATTGTTCAAGATCACCATACATTTTGTATTTAGATTATTTCAGAGAAAGCCCCACTTGTGTGATAGTGACCTTTGTTTGTTCTGGTTTCCCTGCTGCTCTGCATCTCCAAGGCCGAAATTCAGTGTCCCGAGTGTATTACTTCTGCTAAGGTCTAACCGAATTGCAAATGAAAATGCTCAAGCCTCCTTACTCTTTCCACTTTGTGACTTCGATGTTTAAAAATAAAAAGAGTTACAATAGGCAGAACAGAAAAGAAACAGATGTGGAACACCTATTTCAAAGACACAAGACATTTCTGTTCGTTTACTTCTCTGCCTGATCTGCCGTCTTTCTTCTCCATCCCCATAGGAATACTACGACAGAGGAGATTACATTATTAGAGAAGGGGAGGAAGGAAGTACCTTTTACATTTTAGCCAAAGGAAAGGTAAATATTAATCAAATATACTTCAAGTAAAACTTTCCCAGTGTTTTCCATTTGCCACAAATGCACCCATGCTCTGCCTGGTTTTCATGCTGTAACATGAGAAGTTCTCTCCACTGAACTGGTCAAGGAGCTTCCACAGGAAGCCGGGAGGGATACCGAGGGCTTGACCTCAGCGCTGGGTTTGGGGACACCAGCGTCTTATGATGGGCGCCAGCTGACATGGTCAATTCTTAGGGATCGTAGGCAACTTGTTTGACTTTCTTGGAACTGGTTTCAATGTACATGAAATGACTATCATTTCTAAGGTTCCTTATAATGAGGAACACATGATTTTCAATCAGCTCAAAGATCTATGTTCAGGACTGGAACATTTGTGTATCCAGCAGGTAGGGCCAGCAGTGGATGGGGTAGTTCTCATTACGGAATTGAAGCAGCAGGAGTCAGGCATTGAACTTCAGAACCAGTATGGTTTAGAACTTCAATTCAGACACAAACTTAAATTGACTTCAATGCTCTTGTAAATTTGATCCCAATATACAATGGGTCTTTTTCTTCATGCCTGACGAGTGGGTACCATGCTGTCAGTTATTTCTATGTTGACCCGTGACCATGTTCTTCAAAGATAAGAAAAAGCATTTGTGAAATATTGAAGGAAAGAGCAAATTTTAGAGTACCAGCATCGATGCTGATCATAACTTTCAATAGGTGCAGGTCTCCGGGGAAATGGAAGTTTTTGTTTGCCTCTGCATGCAGGGCCATGGACCACTTTGAGATGCTCATGAAAATTATGGACCCTCTTCTCATATTCATTTTTTGTGTTCAGTTTTAAGAAATATATTCACTTAAGCGAGTGATTCTACACACCAGATTAAGGACTCCCGATACTCAGCTTTATTCTTTTTTTAAAATATTTATTTCATTTTATTTATTTATTAAACTTTTTAATCATCTTCTTGGTAGCTCATTGAGATATCATAACATTCCATAGTTCAGCCACATCAAGCCGTATTGTACAATTGCTACCGCAGTCAGTTCCAGTCATTTTCTTTCTTCTTGAACTCCTTGATATCCACTCCCTTTTATCCCCTCCCTCCCCGACCCTACCCCACAGGACCCGTTATTCATTCATTCATTCACTCTTGATTAACTTGCTAGTCCTATCAGACTTTCTCGAGTTGTCCTGTGAGAGGCGACACTGGGATAGAGAGTCTTCCTCGTTCCAAAGGTTGGGTCACAGGGTTTACGGTGTCGGACAGATGTGCTGACAGTAGTTAGGTTGCACGCATCCCCTCAGACATGAGGCCAGGCCTCAGACGTTGCCTTGTCCTTGTTCTTATTCAGTTAAGTTTATACAGATTGGAGGATCTGATTGAATGGATATGTGTTCAAATTCTTATTCTTTTTCTGCCTCCCTCCTGCCTTTTAAAAACTTTTTGAATATTGCTTAGGTAAAAGTTACACAGAGTACAGAAGGCCACGACCAGCCACAACTGATAAAAATATTACAGAAAGGAGAATACTTTGGAGAAAAAGCTCTGATCAGGTGAGTCCATATATTTATATATTTGATTTCTTTGCGTATTCCTATAAAGTTGTCAAATTGAGCTACCAAATTAATGGTGACTAATTTAATAACTTAATTGCATGCAGGAAAATGGTGTACTACCTTTGCATTGAAAAGCTAAACTAAGCTTACTAGTGGAAAAAGTATTATAATTGTTAGTTTAAAAAGAATCGGAGATACGAAACTTAGATTGTAAAGGTTATATCTTCCACTTCAGAATTACTTTTACAAAGTATGAAATATCACCTTGTTAAGTATTTTCATGTTTGTTGTCTATCAAGTAATAACTCTACATAACTTGGATGTTTTAAAGTATCATAAATTGGAAGTTTTAAAGTATCATAAATAAAGCAGTATTTCTTTGAAAAAAAACGTTTAAAAATATTTTTATTGGGGGCTCAGACAACTCTTATCACAATCCATACATACATCAATTGTGTCAAGCACATTTATACATTCGTTGCCCTCATCATTCTCAAAACATTTGCTCTCCACCTAAGCCCCTGGCATCAGCTCCTCATTTTTTGCCTCCCTCTCTGCTCCCCCCTCCCTCATGAACCCTTGATAATTTATATATTATTATTTTGTCATATCTTGCACTGTCTGACGTCTCCCTTGAAATTTTTATCACCACATTTTGAAAGTTTCAGAAACAACTAAAAATAATGCACCTGAATTTCTACCTAAACCTCAGACTTAAAAACATTTTTATCCAGTAAACAGAAGAAATATCTTAAGGGGTAATAAAATGACTCAAGGGATAGTTTGTACTTTCTAGTGGAAAAAAAACAAAAAGCAAAGCTGCAAACTTAAGGAATTAATTTTCCTAAGCTTGAGCAACTTTATAAAAGATAACGTTTGGGATAGCATACCTTTTTTTTGGAGTTACCTATGGTTTTCTATGAAAATTAAATGTTTGCTAAGCAGTCACATAACACTGATGTTTAAACCAAATGCTTTAGTTTTAGTTCATATTCACTTATATGAAGCAGTATTTCTACTGCTCCTCTGTCTTCCCGTGGGCTTTTGTTTGTGGAGTTACAAGTCAAGGGACAGAGGTACAGAACAAAGGCAAAGTATCCATTCATTTCCTGAAGACAAACTTGATTATTTAAGATGACAAAGCTCTTTACTTAAAAACCAAAATTTAATTCTGAAGTTATAATTAATATGTAAACCATTTAAAAATGGAGTTTAAAGACAAACTCAAAAAGTCTTTCTCATTAGCTATCTGATAATGAATTTGTTTCAGTGGGGAAATAAATTGTCCATTTTATTTATTTCTTTATTGCTTTTTATAGAATATTAAATCATTCACGCAATGCCAACAGGTGGTATCATTACTCAAAATTTCAATGTCAGTGTATGCTTTCTTACCATTTTTAGATGATTCTGTCATACCTTCAACAAAACTGCTAAAGTTTGAAAGTGCACAAGAATTTTACAAAGGGAGTAAAGAGGCCCAATCGCTCATGTAAAGGAAGTGTACTATCTGATTTTGCTGAGCATGCAAATATTTATGCTTTATGTAGCAGTTTGCTGATTATAGTGTTTTCCCATAAGACCATAGGAATTTATGTTTAATACAGACACTCAACTCTCAGAAGAATTTAAGATCATAAAGTAAAAATCAGTGAGAAGGAAAGTTGGATATATATATTTTTATATTTTTCTGCAGTCAGTTTTTCACTAACTGTGGCTGCATATGCCTTATACTCTGTATATATCTATGACGTGACCCTAAGTATTCTTGGGAGCCCTTTCAGAACTGTGTGTGCACTCAGGAAGTTACTACGAAAAGAACATGAGCATACTTGTAAACATCCAATACTTGGAAAGCGTTCGCCTACAACAGTCCCAATCAACATCATGCTGCTGACAAATGAAAGGATGCCGTGCTGCTTTCCTGAGTCTGAACTCACAAATGTGACAGTTGGCCATATTTCACCTGTCTAAACTCGAAGTTGAATACGAAGTTTTATTTTGGGGTTTTTTTTCCACTAGAAAATACACAATATCCCCTGAGTCATTACCCTGCTACCAACTCAGAAAGCCCATGAAGCATCAGTATTTTTACCAGTCTCTTCCAGCCTTTAAAGACCCTGTAAACTTGGAGGGGCAGACTGTTTTCTGGAAGTCTCTAGAGCGTTCTGTGGAAAGGCAACTTCAATGGATTGCTCTGCGTGGACTACGGATGTTTCCCTGACAAACCACTAAGGAAAGATGAAGAACTGTCCTTGTGTGATACCATTTTAATTGGCGTGTCTCAGACTAGTTCTGCTGTTTGCTCATCTATGGTATGCGAATATGCCAAGACCACCTGCCATGAGTTCCATAGCACTGGGTACAAGAGGGGTGCATTTTTGTAGTGTCTTTAGTTTATACATCAAACCGATGGCACCTAACAGCTGCAACACTAGAGGAAACTAATACAAGGAAAGGTCTCGAAGGAAATACTTTTAAATGGTGCTTGACCCACTGGTAGTCATTAGGTAATTAAATTAATATAGCACTAGATTATATGCCATAATCCATCATCTATAAGCTAATCATCAATTTTAAGATGTACCCTTATCTTATGTTCCCTCTAAGAGAGAAAGAAAATCCAAGTCGTTAAATGTAAGACTGCTCTGAATTCAGTGTATTTACTGTGGGGGATTCATTCCAGTCTTTATGAAATAAAAGTATATTGGTATGTTGTATGGTACAAGGAACAGTTTCCTTGGTGTTTCTTATTATATGAGTTATCAGGTGTTCATTGTTTGCATGTTTTCCAATACATTTTTCTGAGCTATGACTTTCATATTACTTTCCTCCATGTTGATTAGTGTGTCACCTTGTTTCACATGAAACCTATTTTATATTTTGACCCAAACAGGATTCCATATTCATTGTGATCACTGATACCTCTACATTCCCAGTACAGTTATCTTGTTCTCCTCTGACGTCCTGCGTACCTGCCTTTTTAAAAAACACATTCCAAATCCTTATGGGATGAGGGAGAGAAGAAGCAAAAATTACGGTAGTGAAACTGAAAATAGCCGTTGGGAGCATTGAGTGACAATGCATCAGACAACATGAGACACCCCTTAATAATGACGGATGTTCAATTTCTAACTGTGGTGCAGGTCGACTGAGCCGTTTGTTTTGTTTTGTTTCCTCCTGCAGTGATGATGTCAGGTCCGCTAACATTATTGCGGAAGAAAATGATGTTGCGTGCCTGGTTATAGATCGAGAGTGAGTATCCTGATGTCGGGCAAGGCAGGCGACTGCCACCTGTGCAGACGTGGCCTTCTGTTCCTCGAAGGGACAATCTGTCTTCTCTTTCATCACCACTGAGAAATGCTTCCCAGTGCTCCGCTGTGAGGACGTTCTATTAAAATTCATGGGGAGAAAGCAGGCCTTCTGATCTGAATCTGTTTGAGGCAGTGGCAGATGTGGGAAGGCTAAATATTTTGTGTGGGAAGTTTGTACATAAATATCAGCAATAGACTGATTTACATTCTGCAGCTTCCATGGAAATAAGCTTATTAGTGCTTTTGGGGATTTTCTTTCCACTGAACATAGTGAACATTTTCACAATTTATTTATAAAATGCACTAATCAGTTAAAAATGTTATGTATCTCTATGACAAAATATAAAATATTCTTTAGGTACATATAAACTTTGTTACATTTTAAGTTAACATCTGTAGCAGTTTTCAAAGTGATGTATGCCAATAGCTCTACATCACCTAGATTATTTTTCAGAATAGAGCCGATTTTGTGCCCTTAACTCACCTGAAACTATATTTGGATCTGAACCCTTGAATCTTTCATTCATCAGTCAAAACATATGGATTACATACTAGATACTAGAAAAGAAAGGTTCAAAACCAGAACATTGCCTGATAATAGTCATAATGTAGTTGAAAAAATAGGGTATATGAATCTGAAATATAAACAAAACATATTAAAATGTCCAGCAAGAGCTGTCAAAGGAAGGATACAGTTGACTGCTAACTAAGCATAATTTATAGAGGTTTAGAGCTATAAAGAACTCTAGAATGTTTTTTTTAAACTGCTGATTATGGGAAAGTTCACACATTCTTGAAAGCAGAGAATTGCACCAGGGACTCCACAATAGAAACCCAACAGTCCTAAATGCTTGCTTGATACAGACCTGTTCCCACCACTTGCTTTTCCCACACCATTTTCCAGAGAGTTCAAAACATAAAATTATGCCAATAATATATTTTACCAACCTCTCTAAAAGCTACCATATATGCTCTAGTACAAGCCGATCTGAATATCGGCCGAGGCACCTAATTTTACCACAAAACTGCATTAAAAATGTGCTGATTACAAGGATCTACATATCACTTTCTTCCTGGGGGATAGACAACAGAAAAGTGGGTGGAGGGAGACGTCGGACAGTGTAAGATATGACAAAATAATAATTTATAAATTATCAAGGGTTTGTGAGGGAGAGAGGAGGAGGGAAGGGGGCGAAATGAGGAGCTGATGCCAGGGGCTTATGTGGAGAGCAAATGTTTTGAGAATGATGAGGGTAATGAATGTACAAATGTGCTTTATACAATTGATGTATGCATGGATTGTAATAAGAGTTGTATGGGCCCCCAAGAAAATGATTTAAAAAAATAACCAAAAAAATGTGCTGAGAAACTCAGCCTATACATGAATATATACAGTATTATTTTTAATGTTTAAATCAGAGTATCATCAACACATTAAAATGTTAATAATAATGATGTCTTAGTTGTGATTCTCTAGAGAAAACAGCCAGCACTCCTTTGTTAGTTGGTGCACTGTGGTGGCTTGTGTGTGGCTGAGATACTGGAAGCTATGCCACTGATATTTCAAATGCCAGCAGTCACCCAAAGTGAACACGTTTCAGTGGGGCTTACAGAAAAGAGCAGACAATGAAGAAGGAATCAGCTCCCACTATAAGGATCCAGAAGGCCTAATGATTGGAAGCAGTGCATTGACAGTTGGCTGCCAAGAGATGTAGACTGGATTCAGAAAAGGAGGTAGAATAAGGGATATCATTGCTGACATAGATGAATCTTGACTCAAAGCAAAGAATGCCATCAAGATGTTTACTTGGGTTTTATACATGGTACAGAAGCATTTGACTATGTGGCTCATAATAAACTATGAATAACCTTGAGAAGAGGGGACTCCCAGAACCCTTCATCATGCTCATTAGGAAGTTGTACATGAATCAAAAGGCATTTGTGAGAACAGAACGAGGGTAGACTGCATGGTTTAAAATTCGGTACATCAAAGTTGCATCCTCTAACATTACTTATTCAACTGTATGCTAAGCAAACCATCAGAGAAGCTGGATTATATGAAGAAGCGTGCAGCATCAGGATTGGAGGAGAGAAGCTGGATTATATGAAGAAGCGTGCAGCATCAGGATTGGAGGAAGGCTGGTTAGCATGCTGCTCTGTGCAGATGAAACAACCTTGCATGCTGAAAGTGTAGAGGACTCAAAACTCTTGCTGATGAAGATCAAAAATTGTAGCTTTCAGTATGGATTGTGACTCAATTTAAAGAAGACAAAATCCTCACAACTGGACCAATAGGTAACACCAGGATAAATGGAGAAAGTTACCAAGGATTGTGTCTTGCTTGGGAGCAGCAGTCAAGAAACCATTGTATTAGGTAAATCTGCTGCACAAGACCTCATTCGAGTATTGAAAAGCAAGGATGGTACTTTGAGACCTAAGGTACACCTGAGCCATGGTATTTTCCAGCGCCTCCTATGCATATGAAAGTTGGACCTTGAATAAGGAAGACCAAAGAAGAATTGGTGCACTTGACTTGTGATGCTGGAGTACCCTGGCTGCTAAAAGAACCAGTCAGTCTGTCTTGGAAGAAGTGTGGCTGCAGTATTTTCTTAGAGCCAAGGATGGGAAGACTGTGTTTTGCATACTTTGGACATATTGTTAGGAGAGACCGGTTCCTGGGCAGTGAGAGAGAGGAAGACTGTCAGCAAGATACATCGACACAGTGATTGGCAGGATGGGCTCAGGCAGAGGACTAATTGTGAGAACGGTGCAGGACTGGGCAGTATTTCCTCCTGCTGTGCAGAACGTCGGTATGAGTCTGAATGACTTGATGGTAACTAATAAGAACAACCGAGAAAACAGAACACACACACATATCTCCTCATCACATCTTGACTACCTTGTTTTCTGATATTCCACATTTATGATAAGAGTAAAAATATCTATATGATTACTCAGTACATCTCATGGTAAAAAGTGATTCTGTGTGAAGCAAGAATGAAAATCGCTGTGATAGCTAAGGTTATGTGTCAACTTGTCTAGTCCATGATTATATAATTTGACAGTTATAGAATGAAGTTATCCTCTTACTTTTTGGCATACAAGGTCGTCACCCTCTATTTTCACATATCAACTTTCGTATATCTACTTTGTCATTAGAAAATAACCATACCAATATTTCAATAAGCAATGTGTGTGCATCCATGTGTGTGTGTGTGTGTGTGTGTGTGTGTGTGTATGTATAGAAATTTACTTCAAAGCATTAGCACATACAATTTTGAGGGTTGGCTAGAAAGTCCAAAACCCATAAATCAGGTACTCGCTGGGAGCTCTAGCTCAGTCACAGCATAGCTGTGGACTGACAAGTCTCAAAAGCTATAGGTCTGGTAGGAGGCTAGACAATTTAGCAAGCTTTTTTCCCCAAGATTCAAAGCTCAGGTAATGAATGGTAAGAGTGCCAACTGGGGATAGAGCAATTTCTTCCAAAGTACCTATTTTGCATTTGAAGGCAGCATGCATCCTAAGGAAACTCCCCTTTAACAGATTGGTTGAATTCATTACATTGGATTGTATTACCGAAAAGAAACTAGTCTAGTATTTGGCTAAACCACAGGGAACCATAACCCACCCAAAACAATCTATAAATTAGCCATCATCAACTCGTCATATAAGTTAGAATTATTATTATTCTCCCCTTTACAGATAAAAAAAGTTATTTCAAGGTAGGCTAAGGAATTGTCCAACATTGGCGTTGTGATGGAGGAGGGGGATTGCCCAAGTTTCTTGGTTCATGGAACAATCTTACCGCTGTTCCCTTTGCCTTCCCTTGGCATGTGTGTTCAAGGAGCCCTGGGGGTGTAGTAATTACTAGGTTAACTGTTGAGCACAAGGTCTGTGGGGAAAAGATGATGTTTTCTACATCCATAAAGGGTTATAGTCTCAGCAACTCACAGCGGCAGTTCTACCCTGCCAATAACATTGCCCAGAGTCAGAATGTGCTCAATTAAACAAGCCCTCACTTTATAGCAACGATTTTTCCCCCAAAAACTTTAAACTGTGGAATTGAGCCTCAAAGAATTAATAGAATGTTTCTAGAAAATGGAAATGTAGATGACACTACAGATGACGTCAGCTTAAAATTATGGGACTAAAGGAATGTGAAGTATGTTCAAGGAACAGTTAATTTTTGGATGGAAACTAGTCAACAGAAAATATAACCCCCAATCAAGCCCACTGTCACCAAGTTGATTCTAACTCATAGTGACCCTACAATATTCTCCAAATAATACATTCTTTTATATACAAGAGGGCATTTAAAATTATATCCAAGCATTCTGTAGCATTAGCTGTGTGATGACATGAATTATACTAAAATATTAGAACTAAATATATGATTAAAAACAGAACGGAAACCCCAAACCGTCTGCATTGAGTCCATTGTGATCATAGCAACCCCATCAGCCAGGGTAGACGTGCCCCTGGTTTCCTAAGGCTGTGAACCCCTGGAGGAGTAGAGCACTTCACCTTTCTCCGAGGCAGCTGCTGGCTTTACTAACTAGTTTATAGTTCGCAGCCCACTACTCAGCGAGGGCTCCTGATAAATATGAAAGAAAGAACTCTGTATTCGTTTTTATCATAATCACACACATCACATATTTGTGCAAGAACTCTGTATTCGTTTTTATCATAATCACACACATCACATATTTGTGCTTTTCCTACAGTAATCATCTGAAAAAGATGTAACTATCATGTTTTGTTGCCGCATTCTTTTGAAATGTATTTAAGTGTTTAATTAAAATGGAAGTATCTAATTAGATCCTTTATGTATACAGAATTGCCTTAGGTACAGTGAGACAGAAACAATGTATATGAATATATTCTGAGTCAAGAAATTGGAAGAGCCAGGAAGGACTAGGCTGGCATACATCCTAGATTTTGTGCGACAGTCTGGTCATCTTAACGTCTTTGTTATCGACCCCCGCCCCTTTGCAGCCGGGTGGTGTTGTGGACTGCTGGCCACAAGTCAGCAGTTGGAAGCTGCCAGCTGTTCCACAGCGTTCTGTGGACGATGAGACTTTCTACTCCTGTAAAGATCCACAGTCTTGAAAACCCACACGAGTAGTGCTACCCTGCCCATAGGGTTGCTATGGGCTGGAATCGCCAGTGGCCATGAAGGGTTTTGTTTGTTTCCACTCTGAAGAGGATCCCAGATTGGATGATACATTATATAACCACCTGAGCTATAACTCCTAGCTTCCATGTTCCCACAGCACACCATGTATGTTCTCATCATTAATCACACTTGATTCGGTGGCTTTCTTTGTTGACAGCTGCTGCAGGGCCAGCGTTTGAAACGGCCCTTGGCATATGGGAAGTGCTCACCAGATGCTGGCAGCCTAAAGGGCACTGCCTTGGCAATGAAGTATTGTGACTGAAAGCCCGGGACTATTTCTCTTTTCTTTTCTGATTTATTATCTGAACCCATTCTTAGAATAAATACACCACAAAGAGAAGAGTTGAAGTTTGTGCTGTATTTCATGTTTTAAAAATATGATAGAGCATACAAACTAATTGTGGAAAGGGGCAATAGTTCTAAACAAATGGAAGTGTGATTTATGTTCTTCCTTATTTCATTGTTGAGGCAAATTTCAAAGGAGTTTGTTATTACCCAGAAGTCGTATGATCCAAATGATACAGGCTGTTTCAGTGGAGTAGCTAGAAAAGTACAGATGTTTAAGCTTGACTTTAGATCAGTTAGTTAAGAAATTTTAGGGACTTGTGACACTAGAGTCACCTACATTTCTTTTAAAAAATTGCTTACGACCCAATAGTTTAGTTGATTTAACAGCAAACAAATAGTGCTGAAGTATAAAGACACCATGCATATGGGCCTGGTTTCTTTTTGTTATTCATAAGGTGGCCAAGGATTGCTGCCAAATCAATGTCAACTAACTACAAAAACAAAGAAGAAATAAAAAGAAAATACAGGACAGTATTTTTTTTTAACTTGAAAAATTCCTACCGAAAATTGGAATTCCTATGCCAATTTTTAAATTTTATACTGCACTATAGTAGGTAGGTTCTATAAATATAGGTAGGTCCTATAAATGGTAGGTCCCCTCCCAAAAAAACAGGATAAAAAAAGGATAGAGAATAAATCTGGTGGAGAAAATGAAAAATACTTCACATGGTGTTGTGCTAAATACAGAACCATGTAAAAGTAGAGAAGTACTGCTATTGGGAGTCACTTGAAAATGAGCAGCGGTCTCTATGAAGCAGGGTCTATGTGGCATCGATGGGTGGTCTTCAGGGCTCGGCTGGCTTTTAAGTTGCCACAGGACTCTGTTCTGCAATTACTTTAAGATATTTGCAGGTAAAGTCTCACTATTTTATTCTATTCTGTAGAAAGTGCTCAGGAGAGTGCTGAGATGATTCAAGCATACTCTCTATTTTTAGAAACTATTTTGTAATAGGAAATAAAATTCCCTAATACAGATAAATCAACATAGACTGTAGGCTGAGGGTGTGGAAAGCATTGGAAGAACAACCAAGGAAAGAATGTGTGTGTGTGTGTGTGTGTGTGTGTGTGTGTGTGTGTGTGTTTTAATCTCCAGTGGAGAAGGCGGGAATTCCCAGAGATAGTGAGTGCCCTGGGATGCGGTGGGTACAGGGGCTCAGTGAAGTAGGACACAAAGCTATGATCCATGGGTGAGTGAGGTCAAGAGAAGATGGCTGGACCTCAGAGGAAGAACAACTGAGGTGGAATGATGGATTTAATTAGGAAGGAATGTGGACTGAATAGTAGAGATAAGAGATCTCTTTTATCTTTGATTTTTAAAACAAATAGCTTGACTTAATTAAACAAGATTACAAAAAACAGAGCGATTACATGGGTAGCCTGTTGATTCAGCAAACAGATCATGTTAATTATTTTCTTTCCATTGTGTGCATTTAAAGTAATAATAGGTAAAAAAAAAAAAAAAGACAGTTGTTTGTAAACCTGAATCTCGGGCATAACTCACAACAATTTTTTCTGGCATTGATATTCAATTCCCTTTGTGTTCATAAACTCAAAGGGACAATTATGTGCCCTCTAATAACTATTTGGTAGAATTCTTTCTTTCCATGCCAGAAACTTGGGTCTAATTCCTGACCAATGCATCACGTGTGCAGCCACCATCTTTTGATTGGGGGACTTGCTATGATGCTATGATGCTGATCATCCAAGTGTCCAGACTAAGACAGATGAGGACAAAAGGTGGGGGGATAGAAATCAGCCAGGGAAAACATTACAGATCACAGTGGTTTGATCCAAAATCTATCATGGGGATGAAGCAGAAACAAGCAGCCTTTAGTTTTTTTTGAGCACGGAGTCACGATGACATAGGAGTAATAACAATAACAAATATTTGATATATTGATACAACTATAATATTCAATCATGTTGAAGAACAATTTACAAAACTGGAGTAGCCTTTTCTGAGATTGGAAGAAAGTATCAAGTGAAATGGTAACTATCATCCCAGAGCTCTTTACTGTATATTATTTTGTTCCTTTAGAACATTCAACCAAACAGTGGGGACATTCGAAGAACTCCAAAAATACCTTGAAGGGTATGTGGCAAACCTCAACCGTGATGATGAAAAAAGACATGCTAAGTAAGTGTTGGGATATTTTCCTAAACCAGACATGGCTTCTGATGCAAGAGCATGGGAGAGGGGAGTTATTACTATGTGGTTACCTAGTGTGTGTTCCTTAGAAATTTCTGAGCTGTTTGTAATTGATATTTTGCAAAGAGGACCACTAGCATGGATACTTTGAAGCAGTTTCCAGTTATGTGATGAGTAGAAAAGTTAGGGAGAAACTCCACCACAGGGGACCTTGAGAAAGGAATTCTTTCTTCCATCTGGTGACTTAGCTTAAGAGGGTGCGAATTCACAAAGCATCCTCTTTTGCCTGTCTTTTAATGGAAACCCAACAGAAATGCCAACTCATAGAGCAACACATTCATTCTGATTATAGGAAAAGAGCTAACCAGTCAGACTTCCTTCAGTATATAAGGGAGCTATTATCCCAGGGGAGGAGTACCGTGGTGCCATCAGGGAAGCAGTTAGACTGCTAACCACAAGTTGCTGGTTCAAGCCCACCACCCATCTTTCTCCCATACAGGCTCTCTGTGAGTTGGAATTGACTAGATGTCAGTGGGTTTGGTATGACCTGGAGGAGAGTGTGTGGGGGGAAGAGCTCTCAATGAAATAAAATATATTTTCATGCAGTAGGGAAAAAAGAAAGAAAATTCTTTTAATGAAAGTTATTAGAAATGTACTCTCTATCTTTTGAGCATTAAATATATGGGTCACATAGTGCAATGAGAGCTAGATAACCAGAAGTTCTAGAAAACAGCCACTAGACTAACTTAGAGCATTCATTCAGGACCTCTTGAAGGTTTTTTTGGGAGGGTGTGTGTGTGCAAGGTACAGTGTTGTACTTTTTATCCCGAAGGTCTTTCATAGTAACAACTTATGAGTATCTATTGCAGGCACAAAACTTCATTCATAATTTGAGTCGACAGTATTGCACACAGTAAGCCGTGCATTCTTTCTATGTTTCATAAAGCCATTTTGTTCTTCTTTAGTCACGGAAAGCTTCAAGACCTAACAAAAATTGCAAACTGCAGCCCAGATTTTCAGTGTGGTGCTCTCCCTCCTGAAGAGCAAAGGGAATTATTCCTCAGTTTCATTCTCTCCCTCTCATTCTCAGGTTTAATTTTTTTAAAGCTTTATAGCGGTATATATTACATACCACCAAATTTACCCATTTTAATTCTCATTGAATCTGTTTGACATATATCTATTTCTTGTGTGCGCACTTCCATTTTTGTGTGTGTCCTCTTTTGTTTTTTTCTCTCTCTCTGTAGAAGGACTTGGGTCTGATTCTACAAGGGGAGTTCAAAAAGTCCATGGGAAAATACATTGCCTTTTAATTCTACTTTTCCATGAGTTTTTTTTAAGTCCCCGGTATAAAAATGGAGATAATCTTTGTGGCAACTTTGTGACCGATAAGAGATTGTTGTTAAGAGTGGCAAAACAGGGAGGGTAAAGGGAGAATGGGTAGGAAAGAGGGAGCCGATTACAAGGAACTATATGTGACCTCCTCCCTGGGGGCCAGACAACCGAAAAGTGGGTGAAGGGAGACGTCGGACAGGGCAAGATATGACAAAATACCAATTTATAAACTATCAAGGGCTCATGAGGGAGGGGGGAGGGGGAGGGAGGGGAAAAATGAGGACCTAATGTCGGAGGTTTAAGTGGAGAGAAAATGTTTTGAGAATGATGTACAAATGCGCTTTACACAATTGATGTGTGTATGGATTGCAATAACAGATGTATGAGCCCCTAATAAAATGTTAAAAAAAAAAGAGTGGCATCTACGTGTGGGGTGGCCCTGGGCTGCCTGCGGGGTGCATCTAAAGTGTCCCCTCTCTTCCACAGGAGGTCCATGTCTAACAGACAGCTGTCCAGAGCGCTCTCTCTGGAAATGATCCAGCTGAAGGAGAAGGTGGCCAGATTTTCCGCGTCATCCCCATTCCAGAACCTTGAGATTATTGCAACTCTGGGCGTTGGTGGGTTCGGAAGAGTTGAGCTTGTAAGGGGTTTACGTTTCAAGCATCTGAGAGAAGCCTTTTGACTATAATTTTGTTTGCTATTCCAGTATATCTTAGAGGAATGTGTGAATTGTTATTGCGAGCTAAAACTCTGCTTTGAAATGAACTCGAGGAAGTGAATGCTGCATTGTGTTTTGCTTTGTAGCAGTAACATTTAATACTATAACTATTTCCAGCTTCTTACATTCCATCCTCTGTGGATTCTTTCTCTTGATGGTAATCATTGGAATATGCACCCTCAAAGCCTATCAAATATAAAAGATACGTTTATCCATTTACTGAGGACACATTATCTCTCTGTATAGTAGAAAAAAGTGGAGGTGACATCCAAATGAAAATTTACAGTTAACTCTCTTAGTCCTCACATGGTAGTCTATTTAGATTTGTTGAGCTTTCATTCCGCTATTTTTGCATTGCTCAAAATTTTCCTCTCAAACAAAAGAAAAGAAGATGAGCCCATGAGGAAGCTTGACAAGCAGCCTTCTGTGGTGTTTACCAGGACAGCCGGGGAGTTAGGACCTGACATCACCACGTCTCTGAAGCGTAGAAGCTCCTTCCAAAGATCAGCCCAAGTGCTGCTGTTCGACCAAGTGTTCTGAAGAAACTATAAAACGGTGCCCTTCGGGGGCAGATGGCCTCGCACCCTTGGCAGTTAGCACACCCTCCTCTGCCCCGCAGATTTTTACCAATTCCCTGCACACTAACTAACCTCCGGGAACTCTGCCGGCCCCTCCATCTGCTGGATGGGCCTGAAGGCGAGCTGGACCGAAGTGCTGCCAAGGGAAGATGGGTCAGGCACCTCACACCTAGCCAGTTCCTCACCCACGATGGTGGGAAGGCGGAGGGGGTGGCTTCTTAAGAGGGCAAAGGAGATTTGGAAACGTTATTCTGCCACACGGAGAGAGAAGGGTCATCTCCATCTGCAGTGACAGTTTTCACCAAAGACGGCAAAGGTGGGAGGATGGAATGAGGGATGCTGAGGTCTGGTTTTGTCGATAAGCAGTCATTTCACGAAAGACTTAAGAATCCTGGGTAGCAGTAATGGCGGATGGAGGCAACATATAGGAGACAATGGTTTCCGTGCCATCTAAGTGCTTGTTAACTATAGTGTGATTATGGACTTTGAAGGCTTCTGAACCACTGTCTGTTTTATAAGTTTGTACTTTGCTCTCAGGGGGACCGGGTGTAGGCTTCCAGAGCACGTCTCTCGGGGAGAGCCCCTTGCGGTGATAACAACCTACTGTTCAATGTGGATGCCGCCAGGGGTCTTTGAGCATTCGAAATGTGCCCAGTGTGGCTAATTAGTTTATTTTAAATAACTGCACAGGGCTAGCGGCGACTATATTGGAAAGACAGACATAAACCTTGATTTATATGTTCTCTTTTGAAAATTCAAAGCAGTGACTATTCAAGAAAGAGCAATGTTTGGGCAATTCTCAAGTTTTTTGCTTGTCATACAATCAAAGGTGCATCAAGATTTCTGACCATTTAATCTTCTAACCAGAGGGCTTCTTATTTCCCTCCTTGATTAATGGGAAAAAACATTGAGCATCCTATTGTGAACTACTTTGGCAGTGTGCATGCCCGCATGGAAATCAGTTCTCAGAGAGTTAAGTGGTTTACATGATTTGATGTTATTTGAAGGTGAAAAAGTCTAGCTCTTATATATTAACCTGTTATAGGTAAGACATTGTAAAGCTCTACATAAGCTAACTTTTCAGTCTTTCTGTTTCTGTAGGTTAAAGTGAAAAATGAGAACGTGGCTTTTGCCATGAAGTGTATCAGGAAGAGGCACATCGTTGACACGAAGCAGCAAGAGCATGTTTACTCAGAGAAGAGGCTCCTGGAAGAGCTGTGCTCCCCGTTCATCGTGAAGTGAGTGAGCGTTCAGCCGCCAGGACTCGCGTGCTAGTGTTTGTGTGCAAGGGGACAGAAGACGAGGGGGAGGAAGGCCTATGCAGAATTCTCCACATAGCAGTCGTTTTTAGAATGGTGAAAGTTGGAAATCTGGGCCCAGGACTTATCCAGATGTTTTGATTCTTGAGCAAAGCTCAAGGAAAAAGTGGGGATAGGAGTGGTAGTGGTAGGGAAGCATGCACGTAAAAATGACTAAGGAATAATTTTGACTCAATATATGATATAAAACCAATTAAATTTTTGGAGTCGTGGAGCAAGAATTCACCAGAAACATTTCAGGGCCCATGCTCAGTCTGCATTTTTACTGGAGATGGTTGGGGCCTCTGTAGGCTGCTGTCGGGTACCAAAACATGGTCCTACCAATGCCTCAATATCCAGAGATCCATCTTCTTAATAGGTCTTACAGCTATAGTTAGAGTTTGGAGAAGAAATATAGCTAATTCTAGGCAACAGCCCCTTTTATTTGTGAATTCATGCACTAATAGTCTAAATCAATTTATGTTCTATGTATCAAAGCCCCAGATTATATATTTTCTGTAGTTTCTGGGGGGTGTACAGTGCCACTAGTATTAATAAGATTTTTATTTTTAAATCACATTTCTGAAAGCTTCTACCTGTCGAACTATATCCTGAGCTTCCAACTTTTATTTTTCAAACTTAAAAAGAAATCTGAATTCAAGAAATCTTAGCAATAATCATTCAATTACCTTAATATTGATTAGGATTCCAGGCTGCCCTTACATGTTCAATAATTAGACGAGGGTGAGGAAAGCACATGTCGCCACAGAGTCATAGCAGCTTTCATTTAACAAAAGTCTCCCAATCAACCAGTGCCGCTAAGACACGAGCATCGCTCGTGGTCCTGCAAAGTGGGCCCTAAGGGAGTGCAGTGGCCCCTGGTTTAGAAAGAAGGAGAAGTCACAGCGGGTAGGTGGGATCACAAGCTGGGTTTTCGAGAAAGTAGCTTTAAGCTACTCTGACGTTGAAAAATGGATAGCTAGATAAGTGTGTGTGTGTGTGTGTGTGTGTGTGTGTGTGTGTGTGCGCGCACATTACAATGAAACCGAGATGAAGTTCAGTTCCTGGGGAAAGGGCTGGGGGCAGTCTAGTTAAGGGAATCGGCATAAGCAAGGGGAGAGCCATGGGAAAGGGCAGAGCACACTTCCAAAGAAGGCACGTGTACGGAGAGAAGCCCTGTTCGAAATGTTATTGATGGCACAGTTAAGCCATTTTAGGAGAGTTTTCATGTAGATTTCTAATGATAATGGTGTGTTTTGTCTTCACAGGTTATATCGTACTTTCAAGGACAATAAATATGTGTACATGCTTCTGGAGGCCTGCTTAGGTGGGGAGCTATGGAGTATATTAAGGGACAGGTAATGAAAAATAAATTGTACATAACAGCTTTTGCCTAACTACCCTGGTGTAAAGGATCTATAGGATCATTTAAAGAGTCATAAAGGAACCTTGTTAATTAATAACAATAATGAGCCTTTCCAGGTTTAACATGGTGGCGTAGTGGTTCCTCATTGGGCTGCTAACTGCTAGGTCAGCAGTTTGAAACCACCAGCTACTCCATGGGAGAAGGACTGGGCTTTCTACTCCCTTTAAGAGTGACCGTCCCAGACCCTCAAGGGGCAGTTCTAGTCTGTCTGGTAGGGCCCTGGGAGTCAACATCGACTCCAAGGTAGTGAGCATCATAAGCATTCTGCAAGGTAATCATTTTTATCTCCTTTTGGAATGGAAAAAGTGTAAGATTATGTGCTTACTACAGAACAGAATCAGCACATAAACCCAGACAGCTCTGATTCTGGATCGTTCTCCCACAGTGTGACTAAGGGACAGGCCATTCTTAAGCCCTCCCTGAAAAGCAGAGCAAGATGCCTGCTGTTCACCGATTCCCTTTTACAAAAGGGCTGTTTCCACGCAGTCAAAACCACAGAGCTTTGCTGAGTACCAACTGCTACCTGATAGTGGGCAGTATGGTGATTCTCTCGGCAATGCATACTTTTCTAATAAAAAGAGACCAATATGTAATCTTTCCCTCCGATCAATATAGCAGTTGCTTGGGGAGATAATGTATACAATCTCAAAATATTTCATGATTTAAGTTGGCCACTAAATAATGACAAAGAAGTGGCCATTTGTAATTAAATGCCAAAGGAGTATGCACATAGTATGTTCAGAGAATGGGAGAGAAAAACTGGATGGTAGAGGAAGAATGTGGAGAAAACTTTAAAGATACAAAATTTTAGTAAAGCAGAAAAGCTGGGAAACTGGTGTAAGAAGAAGTAGGAAATGTGGATCATCATCAGATTCTTTGTTGATGAGGATTAGAACTGCTAGAGAAGAAGATTAGGGCCGGGGACACAGTGGTGGAGGGTCTATTTATAGTAGCAAAAGGAGGGTAAACCCTTCCCAAGCCCAAACATTTAGACTTTTTAACCTGGGCCCATGGTTTTCACTTTGGTTGCATACTGCAATCACAAAGAAAGTTTTATAACAATGACATGCCGTGCTTTATCGCTAGAGAATGACGATTCAATTTGGGATTGGGACTGCAGAAATTAATAATAATAATAATGCTTCTCACCAATTCTGATGGGTAGTCCTGGTTGGGAATCCTACATCTAGGCAACATGGCCCCACTGAGTTGAAGATGTCTGCACTGTGAGAAACATACACTTACTCTTCACTTATTGACTTTATCAACAATTCGGACACTGGGGAGAAACTCTTGAGTGTGAATGAGGAGACAGTGGAGAGGCAAAGGAGGAAGAGGAAGATGAGGTTTGTGAGAGGGAATGAGGCCAACTGAGACCAAGGGACGTTCCACTTATCTGGGGTGGGTGGAGGAGCCCTGTCACTCTCACTGAGCGTGTGGGGTGAACAGGCAATTTGTAGGAGGCGGGGGTGGCTAGTTTATAAGGAGGCCGCTGGAAGCAGGGCCGCAGGAGCTAACTGGGATACTCAGAAGTTTCCTCTTCCAAAGAGGCCTCCGTCCCCTCTCCAACCTATGCAGGTCCAGGTGACGAAGGCCTATCTGCCAGGCAGTCTGGGAGCTGCCTGGCACTGAGACGGGACCTCTGGGCTGGTAGACCGGGGAAGGAGAGAGGCTTGGCTCCAGGGTTTGTGGGGTCTGCAGCACAGGTGGTGAGAAGTCCCTGCTTTTCTGAAGACAGAGGGCAACCTTCACTACCAGCAGCCCCAGCCCTACTCCAGTGGACTCTACAGTTGTGGGGAAGGTGTAGCTGGGGAGGGAGACCAGCCATTCCATGCACATCACGAGGCAAACCGAGGGTGCCTGATGGACAGGCAGCCACAGCGGGACACACGTGCCAAGGAGGGAGTACAGCAGGAACTCTTATAGAATACCAGTTTCCCCATGGCCACCCGGTCTTTGGAACTTAACTCTGTTGATAAGCGAGGGGCAGATGTAAGGTTGGTTGCCTAAAGGTGGAGAGAACCTAGAAGGTGAAGGAGACTTCCATGATACTTGAAAAAGATTAGGCATAGATGACCTTGGTTTCAACAAACACATGTATTAGGAAACCTAACTCTATTTCCGAAAAGAAATTCCCACTCAGTGTCAGGCACTGTGTCGCATTCAGGTCAGGCTGCAGCAAATTCATCGTCCTGGTGCGGATTGTGAGCTTCAAATCAGTGAAGCAACTTGCCCACCAATAAGTGGAAGAAGCCGCCTGCAAACCTAGGCTCTCTCACTTCAAGCCACACTCTTCTACTAAACCATGCAGCCCATCCCCGCCCCACTTTAAGATCCCATTATATAAACCCCACCACCACCACCACACACACAATGTTGATAACAGGACAGCTCTAATCTGATCAAAGTGCATCAAGCAGGAAAGTGCTGTGGCAGGCTGGCTTAGGTTATTGTTACATGATGTACAAACCAGAAATGAAATGAATCTCTTAAGTTATTTTTGTCATTAAGTAATTAATTGCAGAAGTCAGACTCCAACTCTCCATTGACATAGTTGCATTTTCTCCAGTGTGTGTGCTGTGTTGGACATTGATGTCCAAATAAATGTGCTAGTTTTCTTATCTCTCCACATTACATATTCACATATGATTGCTAGAAATAATTATTTGGATACAAATATTTTGAGTTTAATGATATGGTTCTTTTATTCATCAGGTGTCCTGCCACCCCAAATCTCATTACAATCAGTAGACAGCTTAATTTATTGGAAGCATAAAATATTTTTTAGCACCGCTGTCCTGTAAAACATTTATATTAGCGAACTCACCAATCTAGTGACTGACAAGACAGTCAAGGTGAGTGTTCAGAGAATTAACAGGGAACATGTTTCTGTTGCAGGGGCAGCTTTAATGAATCCACGTCTAAGTTCTGTGTAGCTTGTGTGACAGAAGCATTTGATTACCTGCATCGACTGGGTATTATCTACAGAGACCTGAAGCCCGAGAATTTAATTCTAGATGCCGAAGGTTACCTGAAATTGGTAAGCTGACTCCTCTCACCTCCAGGCTGACATCAGAGCTTCCCAAACACCACGGTGTGCTGTCGCAATTTTCTTTTCATTTGTAGGCAATTGTTATTTTCACCCTGAGGGCGTGACCTTTGATATTTGCTGGGTTCTGAGAGCAGGACTGTGGCCTTTGAGATTAGCTTGGTTCCGAGAGCAATATTCTGACTGCGCTCTGTTTGTGTAGAAACATAAATGTGCCAGCCATCGTGGTGATGTCTGCTGAGCATTCACACGAGGGAATGCCTTTAAAGTGAGATGTTTGCTATTATGTGTGTTGAAGAAATTTAACTCGGTTTTCATATATTTCTGCTACCTCAGGCTACCTCAGGCGTCAGGCTGCTTTGTAATTACACCGTCTTGGAAATCCTGGGGGCCAATTTTCTGTCCTGTAGGGGTGGTATGTGTCGGAATGGACTTTAAGGCAGTGTGGTCTTGAACTTTGAAAGATTGAATGCAGCCCTAACATATTCAGAGTCAAGATACGGAGAGGAGACAGCATCTAAGTGTTGGTTGCTCTTGTTAGCTGTTGTGGAGTCGGTTTGGATTCATGCTGACTGTACGTCAGGACAAAACATTGTCCAATCCTGTACCATCTCTATGACTATTGGTCTGTCTTTGAATTTTTTTGTAGGCGACTTTAATAACAAAACTGAACTACGGGCACCTTGAGAATAGAGATTTTACTTGTGATATTTGTAACCTCTCAGTGGCCAACATCAACCTCCTTACATGTTACACTAAAGACAAATGTTGCTAGCCAACCTGAAACTGAATTTAGAGACACATTATTAATAAAACTGGATAGTCATAATTGCTATTTTATCAAAGCACTTTGTATCGGAGGAAGGGCATAGCCTCAGGCAGGGAGTTTGTTTTGTCAATATCCCAGGGAAATGAAGTATCTCTAAATTTAACATTTCCAGAAATATTTTAAAAGAGCTACATGTGTTAGGACAGATTGAGTAGAGAAACAAATCCAGTGGCACTCATATTTGGGCAAAACAGAGCTTTCTATCCAGAAGTAATTCTATATCAAGAAAACATCCCAGCCCAGTCCAACTCAAGTCTGTAAGTCCCTCTTCAGACTCACACATCATATGCAATGATGCAGAATGCAGGAAGATCACAGGCCAGTGGATGCAAAGTCACGTGGCTCCACTGTCAATGGAAACGTGGCCGGGATCTAGCAGCTCTCAGGATGGCTAGCAAGCAGGAAGGTGAAGGCAGAAAGTGAGAGAGGTCATCTACCTTGGTCTCAACTCCAAGGGAGGTCGTTAGGCTGTGACCTGATTGACCAGTTAAACTCCACCCATATCTTCTTATAGGTGCCATGTTGGCAAAAACCCAAAACCAAACAAACTATCACACTACTCTCATCAGAATTATCACATGAAGAAATACTAATGACCACCACTCAATGAATTCCTGGAGACAGCAGTCAAGAAACCAAATGAAACACTGCATTGAGTAAATCTATTGGAGAAGACCACTCGTTAAAAGATCAAAGAGCAAGGATGACACTTTGAGAACTAAGGTGTGCCTCACCCAAGCCATAGTATTTTCAATCATCTCATGTATGTTTGGAGGCCCAGTGGCTAGTAGGTTATGAGTTGAGCTGCTAAACTCAAGGTCATCAGTTCAAAAACACCTGCTACTCTGTGGGAGACAAATAACTCTGTTTAAAAAAAAAAAAGAAAGACCCTTAAAGATATGGACTAACACAGTGACTGTGGCAATGGGCTTAAACACACACACACACACACACACACACACACACACACACACACACACGAGGGTGGTACAGGATTTCTATGAATTGGAACTAATTTAAAGTTCCAGAAATCCAAATGGTTACTTCTGTTCTGTGCCATAGAGCTGCTATGAGTTGTAGTTGACTCAGTGACAATAAGTTTGGTTTTGATTTTCACAATCTGCACGTAGAATTTAGACATTGGTCAAGGAAGACCAAAAAAGAATTGACGCATCTGAATTACGGTATTGGAAAAGAAAATCGAAAGAACTATGGGTGGCCAAAATAACACACACGTCTGTCTTAGAAGTGCAACCAGAATGCTCCATAAGAGTGACGATGGCGAGATTTCATGTACATGCTTTGGGCATGTTATCCGGAGAGACCATTCTCTGGAAGAGAACATCATCTTTGGTAAAATAAAAGGACAGCAAAAAAAGAGGAAAACCCTCAGGATATGGATGGAGACAGTAGCTGCCAAAATGGGCTCAAGTGTAGCAAGGACTGTGAGGTGGTGCTGGACCAGGTAGCGGGTCATTCTGTTATATGTGGGGTCACTGTAAATTGGAACCAACTCAAGGGAACCTTTCATTGAATCTTTAAAGAAATTTAACAACCTAGGAAGTACAATGACTGCGTATACATTACATCTTTTAATGCTTCCTACATCAGTCAATATGTTGTCCACTGAATCTTTCAATATTACAACACGAGTCTTATTGTTTCATTATAATGTTTACTTTGTCTTCTCAAGCTGTCCTTTGAAATCTGCTATTCCACTCTTGACTTCATCATTTCTTCCATTTGCCAAGCTGATCTACAGTCAAGAGCAGTTTCAGAGTCTTTTCTGATCTCCACCCAGATTTGCTGTGTTCCTCTCTTTTTAATGACATTTTGCTTTCCTCATGTGTGATGTTCTTGACATCATCCCATAGGGTCAGGTCTTTTGTCATTTATCATTCAATGTGTCAGCTCTATTCTTGAGATGTTGTTCTCAGAATTCAGGTATTTGTGTTAGGCTGGGTTCTCTAGAGAAACAAAACCAATGACACTTATATGAGTATGCATACAGAGAGTGATTTATATGAAGAAATGCCTCACACCGTTGTGGAAGTGGATTAGTCCAGGCCGATTCAAGTCCCTGGGTCAGATGTAAGCTTGGAGCTTTCCTTCACTCTTGGAGTTGCTGAGACTGATGCACAGGAATAGGAAGATGAAGCAGGAAGATCAAAGCCTTAGTGGATGCCAAGTTGCATGAACCTGCAACGGGCAGTCCTCTGATGGGTCCTCAGATTGACTGGCTTTATAACAGGAGGTCAACAAGCCAGACACAGCATTCCAGACACAGCATTCCAGTCGTAGATATCTGCTAGCTTCCATATACTGTCAATTTATACTAAAACTGGCCACACCCTACAGGTTAGGTCCGGTTGACTAGAGAAACAAAACCAGTGACACTCTTTTATGCATCAGAAAGAACTTTATATCCAGAAATAATTATATATAGAGAAAACATTCCAGCCCAATCCAACTCAAGTCTATAAGTCTGGCACCATTCCATAAGTCCCTCTACAGACTCACACAGCCACATTCAATGACACAGATTCCAGGTCTGTGGGTGCAAAGTTGAGTGGATGTAAGATCGGTGGAAGAATAGCAGGGCTCCGGCAGCTCTCCAGAAGGCCAGCAAGCAAGAAAGTGAGGGCAAAGAAGGAGGGAGGCTCCCATGGCCCTCCTTATGAGAAGCCACACCTCTATGCAGGCATCGCCAGGAGGTGACCTGATTGATAAGTTGGATACCACCCCTACATTTTTATATATCTTCAAGTTGTCATACAGTTATCTTACTACCACACCCTAAATGAAATCTCCCTCAATCTACCAAGGCTCTGACCAGATTAAGCTGCTATATTTTCCCCACAGCTGTGTGGTTTCTTCATGGAAGATTCCATCGTGGAGTTGACCACACTAGGTTAGATCATATCATGGGAGAATCCTTGCCCACCCAAGTTAGTATAAACCCTAACTATCACAATTCTCAAAGTCATAGTTTGGTTCCCTTGGACTTGTTTTCATTTTCTTCAACTTCAACCTGATCCTACGTATGAGCAACTGATGATTTCTTCCACTGAGCGTCTCCATTTATTACAGCAGTGGTACATTTGATTTTATGCAATCCAGCTGGTGAGGTTCATGGGTGCAGTCACCATTTACGTTGTTGGAAAAAAACGTTTGCAATAAAGAAACACTGGTAGTACAAAAGTCTACCGTGGGGTCTCACGCTTTGTTTCTATCACCAAGGTGATAATTTCCAATAGCTGTCCCTTCCTCTTTGTGCCCATCTTTTGTGTTCCAGCCAACAATATCATCAATGCATCTTGATTGTGGGTTTGATACATTTCAGACTGAAAAAGTTGGTAGAATTCTTCAATTTTTGTCGTCACAGGTTTTAGTGAACGGTGCATAAATTTGGATTATGCTTGTTTTATGTGGATTTCCTTTTATGCATATAGATACTATCCTATTACAGACACCATTGTACTCAAGATAGATTTTGAAATGTTATTTTTGATTATGCATACCACCCTATTGGGCTGGAATTTTCCATTTGCAGCATAGTAAACCATAAGACTGTTAGATTAAAAAGGGCCAATTCCACTCCGTTTCAGCTCACCTATACCTAGGCTATATTTCTTCCATTTAATTTTTGATTACTTATCATTTTCTTCAATCCATACATGCTACATTCCATGTTCTGACTATCAATAGATGTTCGTGTCTTTTTCTCCTGTTTTGAGTCATGCCTCATCATCAAGGGATGGTTCCAGAAGTTTACTCTCCTTTGAGAAGGCACCTCCTCCTCACTTGTATTGTGAGTGTGACAACCAGAGGTGCTCATCTTTGGGCACTATATTTGACAGTGTTTTGTTGCCATTCGTAAGAGTTTTAGTGACTAACCCCTCAGATGTAGATAGCCTATGTCTTCTACTTCAACTTCTTAGTCTGGAAGTTCTGATGAAACCTGTTCACCTTTGGTGAACCTAATGGTCCTTTAAATACCAGGGACATAGCTTCCAGCATCACCACAACATACAAGTCACCACAGTTCAACAAAGTGACAGATAAGTGGGACCCTTCTATAATAATAACAGACATGTATTACTGAAGATAAAGAGGGTTACTTCATAATGATGAAAGGTTCATTTCTCAATAGATATAAATC